ATTCAGGCATCTATGAAAACAGAATTTATGAAATTTAATAGAGTTAGAAGTTAGCTCGCTAGTTTCCACCCAAAAGATAATATACTATGTTCTGACTGAGAAATTTCAGAAAAATTAAAACGTACAGCTCTGATATCACTTCAGACACAAATGAAGACAAAACTAAACAGTGACGTTTGTAGGGTCACTGGTTTCCCTCCTTGATTGCTGACTAGCTGGTATATGATGACGTTCTACATGGTGGCTAGCTACATGGCTATGGTAAGCATATTATAAACATAGTGAAGCTGGAGGATGAACGCTAACTTTTTTCCATTCGATAAAAGTTAATGCAAGGATTCCCGATGTTTAAGGACAAATGTAATCGCATGGCAGAATCCTCTAAATGGACCAAACTTCAGTCAGGAGAACAACTGAGATGAGGTTAGTCATAAATTTATTGCTGCATGGGCTGGGCTGTAGTTACATTGTAAGGTTTTAAAAACTGAGCTTCAAAATGAATAGTGATGATAAAAACCCAGAGTGGCCCACAGTGATCATTGACTTTTTTTTTTTTCAGATTAAGTAGAACAAGACAAAGCATTAAAACATGTTAAAACACTCACATTTTTGGTGGGTGGGATTACAATTAGAGAAGCTGAGAAGGGGAATCAAGAAGGGGAAGCAGGAAAATGACATGAAAAAACAAAACAATCTAAGATAAAACAAGATATAATCAAAGACAAACAATGACAACTTAAACCACAAATATAAACACCCTTTGTTAAAGGTTGAGTCTGCATTTGGGTCCAAGACCTGTGGTTTGACAAAAATTGTATAGGTCACTTTAACTGTCAGCACTTTTGTTTGCCTGAAGGAAGTTGAGATAGCACGTTTTACCTTCATACTTCTCAACTTCCTTCAGGCAAACAAAAGTGCTGACAGTTAAAGTGACCTATACAATTTTTGTCAAACCACAGGTCTTGGACCCAAATGCAGACTCAACCTTTAACAAAGGGTGTTTATATTTGTGGTTTGAAAACAGTTTAAAATACAAAATTCAATAAAGAGGAAACCCGAACAGAATCCAAGTGACAGGGAACGCACACACGAGGACAGATGCTCTGACAAGGAACAAAGGGGAGACCGTATTTTAAATACACACAGGCTAATTAGGGGAAGTGGACACAGCTGG